TTTTCTTTTTCTTTTTCATTAATATGTGTCACTTTATGTGAGATAAAGTATCTGTCTATAAACCTGTACAGTTCTTCACTACTTCTTGATTTGGTCAATGTAGAAGAAAAACATTCACATAACTTAAACGTACAGTGGACGACAAAAGTCTCGCCCCAATTTCTTTTTGTTTTGGCTCACATTTCAAAACTACACGACATAGATTCTATTTTCTTTTTTTCTTCGAATATCGGAGCTCGAGTACTATATATATGTATATATTTGAAATGAATAATCGTTGAATATGCAATACAGAAAAGAAAGCAAACATCAGTACTAAGAACAAAAAAACTACAACATGATATGGTTCAAATGAGTTTTAGTAAGGTGCGAGTGACGCAAAAGTTGAGTAAGATTTTTTTTTAATATTTTTAAATTGTGCGATACATCTTAAAAAGCTCTACAAAACTGTTTATTTTAAAATTTTATAAAACCCTTATCTGGGACGAGAAGTTACAAAAAACTCGCACATATTTGATTTGTTCTATATGAAAAATCGACAATTTCTTTTTTTGTGCATATAAACAAACGTACAAATGCGAGGTTTTTGTAATTCATTGTCCCAAAAAAAAGGGTTTAATAATATTCTAATATTAACAGTTTTTTCAGCTCGTGAAAATCTATCGAACCATGTAAAAATATCAAAAAAAAAGTTTTACTCGATTTTTGCATCACTCGCACCTTACTAAAACTATTAAAGCTCATAACAACCATATCATATTGTAGTTTTTTATGCAGCTTTTTTTCTTAGTACTAAAGTTTGTTTTTTTTCCTTTATTTTATATTCAATCGTTATTCATTTCAAATATAAACACACATATATTTCTCGAGTTCCTCTATTCGAAGAAAAAAAGAAAATAGAATCTATGTCGTGTAGTTTTGAAATGCGAGTCAAAACAAAAAAAAAGTGGAGTGAGACTCTCGACGTCCACTGTACAACAGATAAACACAACGGTAGTCTGATTTTGATAGAAAAAAATCAAATTACAAACATGAAACTCTATGATGAAAATAAGAATCTTTAGTAACAATAATAGACATAAAACGAATCTATTTAGAAAAACAAATGTCAGAGAATCCAAAGCAGCTTCAACAGAACAGAAAACTATTGTGAGCTTCATATAGACTCATGGCTTTATTTTGACCCTGTTGAATTCATTCATCATGTATGATAAGGATATTATATACCAACAAAATACTACTGACTACATGAAAAACAATAAAGATCCGAAAAATATCAAATGATCATGGAGTAGTATACGAAAAAGTCTTGAGTGAATAGATGCATTCGAACTCTACAATAATAATGAAGTATTAATTTTAAATTTTAAAAGTTTTATTTATGCATTATTTTATTTTTGTTGATATAGTTTTTTTATGTTACACTATCAATTCAATCTGAAAATAGTGCATCCAAAGTATAATAATAAGAAAGAGTATAATCACTAAATATGAACTAGTGATCTGTTAGTATTCTCTTGTGCTATTTTCAAATCTAAAAATTTCTTCTAGCAAAAATCGAATTTTGTTGGTTTTCTGAGAAGTGATGGAACCAACAGCTCATCACTCTGAATTTAACTCCAACTAACAATAATTATTTTAGGAACTAAGAATAAACGCGATTATATTATTCTGTTTATCGAAAATATTGATTCAATGTGAAACATTGAGTCTTTTTTTCAGTAAAGCTATTCAGTTTTCTATCAAATCTCACAAAATAAAGTTCCATTATTGAGCTTGTCAAACATTCATAAATCTTTTTTATTCATGAGCATAGTTTTCTAAACATATAAGCCAAGTCTTCTTTTCCGTTCAATATTTATTAACCCTTTGAGGACCGAAATTGTTTTTAATCGAAAAACACATTATTCAACCTTTTTATTTTATTTTAACTCAAAATGGCTATATAAAAATGTTATGATAATCAAAAAAAAAAAAATCTTTTTCATCTTTTAAAACAAGATAGCAATTTGCAAATAAACCACTCGATCTTGGATCGAAAATCTGCTTCCTCGGTGTCACAATAAGCACATCATCTTCTTTTTCCTTTCGCAGACAAATGCATTTCATTGTCAAAATTAAGGATAGTTTTTGGTGATGCTAGTCTAGACTTATTTTTAGAAAGAGGTCTTTCACAACTTATTCGTTCATTGCCGAAACAGAAAGACTCCGATACTGAAACCAAAATGACATGCTTTGCAAATTCAAGAACAAAATAAATTCGTCCATAAGAGTGGGAGTGTATATAGCCAATAGAGAATGAGAATATTCTCGAGAAACAAAAGATCAGAGAAGAGAGAAATTATGACGTCACTGTATCTTAGCAGCAAGAACAAAGGATATTTGAAAAGAATTTACATGAGAGAAGGAAAAAAGAAACGAAAAGTGTGGGATGACAAATGCAGTTGTTTATGATCTTAATGACCGTACATATTTCATAGTTTAATGTGAACTAAACATTTTTTTCTTTATTGAAAAATAGGTAGGTTAAAAATGACCCATCGGTCCTCAAAGGGTTAATCAAAAATCATAAAGTTATACAAGAAAAAATGTGTTACATGAGATAATTGAAAGAGACATATTCTTCATAATCTTCGAAGTTTATTTCCAAAAACAAAATCAACTTATAAATACTATTAAGATTTTAGTTTTAAACAATCATCTACAAAAGTGAGTAAAGCAGGTTGTTTATCAAAAATGTTAACACTTTTTGGAGGATTTGGCATGTATTTTAATAAATTTGTTTTACTGCTTGTATAAACTCCAAGAGGTATGGTTCCAATACTCAGATTTTGAAAAAGCTGAGCAACATCAGTAAAACTTTTTTTCTCTTGTGCAAAATAACCGCGACATATTGTAAAAAATATTTCTCGTTTTTGTATTTCGCGTAAATTGTTAGTTAAATATTCTTCAGCATCTTTATATGTTGATTTAAAGATTATTTCTAATGTTGGATGATGTTTTTGAATTTCTCTGACTGTTTTTATGTCATTTTCAGGTAAATCAATCCAAAATAACATTGGCTTTAACGGAGGAGTTCTTGATGCATCAGACGTTAGGGAACTCGACTGCGATGATGTACGTGCAGGTGCTGGAAAAAAATCAGATACAGGCAGAGGAGGAAAACCTGATCCATTTGTATGCCATGCATTATCTTCTGATGGATATGGCAATGTTGAAGAATTGTCTGGTTTTCCTTCGTCTAAAGGGCAAATAAAAATAAATTCTATTTATGAGAAGAAATTTTTTGATGAATGGAAAACTCAAACAAAAGTATACAAATCCTTTTATGCAGTCAAAATGATAATAGGACATAGATTTTGACTAATCATTTGTGATATTCATCTCAAAGCAATGATGAGGAAGAAAGAGCCGAGTCTTTAACATTGAAGTCTAGAAGTCTCAGTAAGTCTTTTCAAATTCCATGAGAGCTGTCGAAGATGTGTGAAATGTCAAGATTCTGGCACTTTATCAATAAGACTTTGGCCAACACATCCCTTAGAATTTCCACAATATTACTGTGAATCAGGTATGGATTAACAAAAGTTTCTATCGATTCGATTGATGAGTGTAAGTTATAATATATATTATAACAATATTAGTCTCAGTTTGCAAATGTATTCTATATTAATTTTGTTTCATGACAGCTTGCGAAAGTCCTCTCTACTTTCAAGAAACACATCCTCTGGCATTTGGCAAAGTAGAAAAAGTACAGTAGGTTTTCACCATAAACAAATGTTTAATTGGCGAACTTTCGGCCATCCGAAGTCCTAAGAAATCTTAACATGTCTTTAAAGTGTGTTTGAGCTATAACTTTAATTGAAGTTAAAGTCTTATAAAGTTTTATAAATTTTGTTGAAGTGGTTGAAAATAGCTTGAAATTCAGCAAAGTTCATAGAAGTCATCGAAAGTCTCCTAAAATCATCTAAAATGATTCTGAAGTTCTATGAAGTCTTGAAATGTGCCGTGTCCTTCTCAAGTTACGGAGGATCATATGCTGCCGATCATATATACTGTAACTAAAATATAGTGCATTTGAATCTTCGAACTAGCTAGCTACAGATTAATCATAGTCAAACTAGTCAATCGAACCATTCAGCTGAGAATACATCATGTATTTGTATCATATGCCTATTATTTACATTTATTCTTCTAGTAATTACTAATGATGATGGATATTATACGAAGTTTGAGAGTTCGGACAAGAAGAGTTTTGTACCATGCTTATCCTCTACTGAGAGCTACAATTAGGTGACTAGTACAAAGATGAACAATCAACCTAGAACTTTATCAACTGTAAGATGTATGCTTTCGGATTCATATTGATAGTTTTATCTCAATTATCAATGAATATTTTTGTTTTACTTACGTTCATGGCTTACTATAACCGGCGGTTGTGGTGTGTCATCTTTGTGTGATACACGACAACCTGTGTTCCATAGTGTTTCTTGTTTAATTCCAACAAATTCTTTCACTTCGAATTCTTTATCTGTCACAATAACATTAGGAAATTCAAGTGCTGCTTGTATCTCATCATGCTTGTTTGTAAAAATCAATACAGGTACACGTGCTAATTCTGCACGAACAGCACGAATAACATCAATAGCTGTTTTATCTTTTTGTATTGTCCATGAAGTAACAACTTTAAATCTGATATGTGGTTGTCGAATTAGTTCTTGATTAGTTTTAAGCCATTGTTGAGCTTCTTCAATGGTTTGAAAGACATCTAGTTTATGTTCACAACCCATATGTGTTAATAGTTTAGGAGTGTTTAGTGAGTTTTGAATATCTTTAATAAGATTATCCACAGTTTCAGTGTTTTTATCATCTGTTATCCATAATATATGAAGAGTGTGACGAATCAATATCGACGGAGGATGTTCCACATTCACATTCATATCACTTGCTTTTGGTACCGGTAGAAATTGTTTTAAGTCATATGGAAATGTATGTTCAACCAAAACCTCAACTCCACTCATTTCTCTTGTTGGCCATGGATTTGCTAATGATAATTGTGCAACAGCATGTGGTGCTATGAAACTATTCATAAGTCACATTATCAAGTTTGAAGCCATTTTTAAATCTATAGATCCTAAACAAAATAAAGCTCTTGATAACCTTAACGCGTCATGATAAAAAGAAAACATTTTCTTAATTGGTCTCTATTTCTATCGTATTTCATCATTTTCGAATGACTTCTATACAATTTGATGCAAACTGTAATTCCTCATCCGTTATTGGTCTTGATTTATGTGGCCAATCAGAGTTTCCTTCAAGACGTTTTCGAGTTTCTTCTAATTTCTTAATTAATCTTTTTGTATATTTTATATAACAGTGATTCAAAAGAGCATATGAATAAGATGCTTCAACAGATTTATCAATTGGATTAATTAAAACACGTAATGATCGTCCTTGTTGTTCACGTGCACGAAGACGAGCCATAAAACCTTCATATTCAAGAAAATCCAAAAACCGTAATGGTCTTCGTATAGTTATAGAATTATTTATTGTACATGAA